ATATATATATATATGTGTGTGTGTGTGTGTGTGTGTGTGTGTGTGTCTGTGTGTGTCTGTCTGTGTGTCTGTCTGTCTGTCTCTGTGTGTGTGAATATCGCACATGCTAGTGTTAATAAAATAGAGTGAAAGTATGGTAAAGACTGTAAAGGCTAAAATGAAGAACGGGGACATTACATTTATATTTTTGAAGATTATAGTTACCAGGGAAGCAATTAAGATGACGGGAGTTTCACTGTCGGGAAGTTCGAGAGAAGAAAATGTTGGAGTAGAAGTGACGGTTATATTTAATTGTTTCGACAGTGAAATGGTGGGACCAACATTCCAGCCTAGTAGCACGCTTAAATCCATGCAGTCGGGGCACCAATGAAAATAGCTCGTCAGAGCAGTTGCTATGAAAATATTTATAGAAAAGACAGAGAAGCCACATTACGTCGGTGAGATAATGACTGGAGTCGTGACCCCATTTCAGGGCCGATCAGATTGCATATCCATCTTTGGATTTTGTCGAGAACCTCGAGATAAACATCGGGGTCACCAGACCATATATGGCAACAGTATTCAATGCATGGGCGAATGGTAGATTTGTAGATGTGATTGATGGACTCAGATGAGAAAAATCTTCTGGCGCGACACAAAGAACCAACTATCCTTGCAGTAGATGCAGCTATTGATTCAATGTAGTTGGTCCACCTCAGGTCAGTGGAAAACGTGAGACCAAGAAGGCGCGTGGAGTTGAGCATCAACCATGCTGATAGGAGACAGTGAGGTCTCTCTATGATGGGTAAATGAGAACAAGTTTCGCTTCGGATGCATTAAAATTCACACGCCATTTCATGCCCCAGTCAACCACAGATTGAAGAGCGTTTTCGAGACAAACGGTCAGGTTAACTTTGTCAGCAACACTGAATATTAATAAATCTACATTTTTTCTTCCCTTGTAACACAACTACGAATTTCATTAACAATATAATCTTCAGGTGCTGAATTATGACTGACCGTTACATAATTTAAATTTTAATAAATGCAATGTTGGCGCAGCCCATATATCATACGGGGATTACTGTTTTGTGGGGTGGGTATTTTTAAAAATTTGTGTGCAAAATAAACGGGATTTGTCGTTTATATTTTAAATATACGAGGATTAATGGTTTGTTTTTTTTAGATTTTTTTAGTTAAAATAAACGTAAATATAACTATAAAAAATTATCAAGAAATAGAGAAATAGGTAGAAAAAATTAATTAAAGCTAATGGAAAGACATTCATATATAAAATATAATTGCCCAACAGAAGATGTTGAAAGAAAAAAATTAATCAGTTTCAGTATGTTTCAACAAGTACTTATTTCTATGCCTATATGTGACCATCAATTCATTTCGCTTGTTGTTATACTGGAACACACCTATTCTATTGTTAATAGACTCTCCCACCTATAATAAGTAGGAGTAGTAGCAGTCGCTGAGTCAATTAGGGAGTTGGTCAGTCAGTCGATGTCGGACGACCGTTAGTCGGATACTAAAGTATCAGCGACCACCACTAGATTTTTCCGCGTCATTACCTATTATATCAAGTTCCTAACGTTTTGTACGTCGAACCTTCTTAGGGCCGACTTAGTGAAATACAAGCCTCCACTGTGAAACCACTCTATAACAACTTGGCCACGAGGATTCGAACTCATACAGTGGAAGAAAAAAAAAATTCACCCGCCATAACACTTGTTTAATAAGTTAGGGTTATTTAAGTGTTTTAAGATACCTATTTTTTCTACAAGGCATAAATTACACCTATTGCCTTTCACATTGTAAGATTTTGTTTTAGGTATTATTTAGATAATATTTAGTAATTATATGTGTATTACTGCCATTCTTTAATTGCCAGAAATATTTGTAGAGAGCTCAGCTATTCATTATCCATTAAAGCTGATTAGTTTTTTCTACCTATTTGTATATATGAATTGATATTTTTTTTAAAGTAATTATAGGTACGTTTATTTTAAATACAAATTTTAATAAAATATTAATTTCTGTTTATTCTAAATATAAAATATTGATCCCGTTTATTTTAAATACAAATTGAAAGAAAAAATAACAGTAATCCCCGTATAATATATGGACTGTGCTAACATTGTGTTAATCAGATATATTTTATTAAATTATGTCACGGTCAGCCTCAATTCAGGACCTGAAGATTGCGTTGTGCATGAAACTCCGAGTCGTTCTACCGTTCGGGGAAAATGTATTACGTTTACTTGTGTTTATGTTTGCGTTCATGGTTTGTTAATTTGTTAATTAAAAACATAAAAACAAACGTAGGAAAAAGCTTCATAAACAAACACTTCCCTCCTGTCAAGCACTCTCCATAAGATATTCAACAAAATCATAGCAAAAATAATTAATATGTAAGTAGAATGTTAATGGTTATATTAGCTGTTTCCTGATTTAAAATTCGGTACTCAGTTCTACCGTCGCTTGAAATTTTTTTTGTTTTGTTTTCTATAAAAAACACATTTTCAGGAATTTCTCTCTCAAATTGGATCTCCAGCTCCTTGCGTCTTAGCGGCTTTATCACCTTGCTTAGGGAGAATTGATTAAAAATAGGTTTCTCAAATCTACTGTTGTAACCTAGAAAGGGTTACTGAATGAGGAATAACCAAAACAGAGGTTGGAAATGAAATGGTAATCTTTATAAATATCAACAAAATACAATATTCGCCAGCGGCGTGAAGTAGGTAAACCACTGCTAGTGGTGGACTACTTAAACAACATATTACCTCCGCTTACAATAGTGTCCAACATATTTATGAGGATTGCGACATACCAATTATTGTTTATAGATACGGTATATAACATCTACTAAGACTCAGAAAGAGATTTAATGTCTTAGATACAAACAGGTGCCGTTGAACAGTATCCAGAACTTGTGAAATCAAGAAGTGTTTTAAATAACTACAAAGGATCATAACAACTTTGAGGAAAACCCCATGACAAGTAAAACCTAATGTCTACAGTAATTTGACGGAGAACTTTCTCCGTTTATTCTGCATCTCCTTTTTTTTTTCAAATTTATCTTTTTTACTATTTGTTTCTGAATTGATTACATGTTGGCTATTGAATAGGAAGTATTTGACTTTACCCAATTTACACAGAGGTAACAGGATTAAAAAAATAAAAAAAATTCGTGGACGTTTCTCAAGCAGCGATGAATTTGTACTTCAAGAAACTAATGGCGCCAAGTGTTGGCGCCTTATCCGTTTCCAATGAAAAGCAGCAGGACATCATTATCTATGATGTAAATGAATTCCAAAAAGCCCCCCCCCCGCATAATATCAGCAGCAAAATAGCAAGCCATATAAACAATGTATGTCAAGAACTTTTCACCTGGAAATAAACAACCTCCACCCATTTTTTTTTTAACGTAATTAACATTTTAATGCATTTTGATGCAAGACGTTGCTGTTCAATGAGACACGTTCTCTGTTCATGTCTTCCACTAACAAATTTAGGCGAGTGAAAAATCTTAAATTAATAAAGTTGTCATCTGATCAATCAAACGACGGCTTTGAGTTCAATTATTATTATCATTATTATCATTATTATTATTATTATTATTAATATTATTATTTATGTATGTTTTGCTTCCTGCTTTGTATAATGTAGAGCCAAACTATGGTCTTTAAGCCCTATACGAGAATTGTCATTTAATTGATAGCACTTTTCTTAGTATATGGAATGTTCCTAGCAGGACGGTCTTCTAGGCAATTTGTATATTGATGTTACCTGGCACGCTGTTAGTAAAATTGTCCATTCTTTTTTCTCACGAGGCCCAGTGCTCCGATTACTATTGGTACAGTCTCAGTCTTCATTCCCCACATCCTGTTAACCTCGATCTCCAGGTCCTTGTATTTGGACAATTACTCGACAATCTCAGATGGTACTGCTATGTCAATAAGCATGAACTTCCTGAATTTCTTGCTTTTTATGAAAATATCAGGTCTGCTGGTTTTTATTTCCTTTTCAATTTGAATTGGCATATTATTATTATTATTATTATTATTATTATTATTATTATTATTATTCAAATAAGCTATTTTTGACCTGCATTTGTTTTATAATCACGTGACAATGACCTAAAGCGAGAGAAGAATGTGATGCTTTGTTGTTTCCACTTAATTAAAAAAAAAAAAAAATAGCATGGTCCTGACCGTGTGTCTCGGCTTCAGTCACTTTCTCACCGCCGTAAGTTTGCTTCTCTTGGCCAATTGTATAAATACTTTCATCGCAATTGTTTCTGTGAGCTCTTCGCTGTGATACCTGGACTTTATGAATTAAGGTGCAGTACTAGATTAGCACAAAGATCTCATTAATTTTCAGTTGAAATTACTAGATGCAAATGCTAGATGCTAGCATGTAATTGCTAGATCCTATCAATTTCTTTTCTCGCACTTTTTTTTTCCGCCATGCTTTCCGGTCAGTTTTGATCTTCAAAAATTTAAATTCAATCACAATCCTTATCTACTGTCTTCCTAATTACTCTTCTGCTGTACTTTAGCCTTAATAATATTTCTATTTTCGAATTCTTTCACACTCAGTAACCTTTTGGGTCTTAGTGGATTTACTGACTTGCATGAGGAAAATGATTTAAAAAGTTAAGAAAAGATTAATTGGGCAAAGCTATTCATAGGATATAAGTTAGTCAAGTTACAACTGCTTTTTTATTTCCTGGAGATATGACACAACAAGGATTTTTTTGATTTGTTTTTGAGTTCCATTTTTTTATCAGACCCAAAGCTCCAACCACAACAGGATCAGTTTCAGTTTTTAAGTGCCACATTTTTTTCTATTTCCATTTCCATATCATTTTCTTCAAAAACCTTCACCGGAATGTTTTTGTCACTTGGTAAAATCATGTCAATCAGTGCGCAAACGTTTTCTTTTCTGTCATCGATAATAATACCTTGGCAATTTGCTGGTATTGTTTGATGTGGGTTGATAGAAGGCTTACAGCCACATCGCGTTGAAACACCGATTCCTGTATGACCAACGAAGTTAAGCAACGTCGAGCCTGGTCAGTACCTAGATGAGTGACCACTTGGGAATACAAAGTGCTGTAAGCTTGGATGTGTGGGTGCTGTAATGGATAATAGCTCAGAATTGTTAACCGGAGGGCTGAGTTTCCGTTAGGTTCGTTATATTCATTTACGCGCAAATACCATTGGAAAATGTATGAATCCACCTCTCCCCCAACTATGGGTTAATTAGTAAAACTTGTATCACTAGACGATTATCTCTAGAAAACTCCTACAATCTAAGGATATCTTCTGGCTTTAAATAACCTGCAAGGGTTGATAAGCTCTAGAAAACGAATCTCTCAGTCAATATGTTGATAGAAAAGTCCCAAAAGATGATAACATCTGCCCCATAAGTACAGAATCAAGATGTTGTTCATACAAGTTTTAGTATTATTGTTGTTTTATTTCCTTTGATTTCTGGTGGATACTCATTTTTTTTCCGGTTCCCGACCAGAGACCTAAGGTCAGAAACGGCATCATGACAATTTCCACTGAGCAATTTTGAAAAAAAAAATCAAATAAAATCACATATTTTCTATAGATAAAGCCTTTCGTAAGGTGTGGTCTGAACTCGTGAGAATTTTTTTGGTGTTTCTTTAAGGCATGAGCTACTAGGAGTAGCTTCAATGAGTCTACTGGATGTTTTTTTTTCAGTGAATCCGAGGGCTCCAGCTGGAATTGTGATGTCTTCATGTGCCACATTTTTGAGATTTTGATTTCAAGGCCATTGTATTTTGATAGTTTTCTGAAGATTATCAAAGATTCATTGCAGTCTGCAGGGACTGCAATGTCAATAAGGAGGAACATTTTGTCTTCGCGGTCTAGCTTTGATAGTTCTGTCTATGTGTATTGTAAAGTCCCATAAAATTGTTATTGGTCCTATCTCCGTAACCGGGTCTGTATGGTGTTCAGACCAATTTCTTGCAGGATTTTTTCCGTAAAAGTTACAGTTTTTCTAGTGCAGATATTGGCCCAAGTTATATATTCAACGGGTGCCAAATACTTTACAGGATGGTCATTTGTTTCTGGATATTTGTCACAAAATCTGCATTTGGAGATAACACAATGTTTCAGCATTATTATTATTATTATTATTTTATTTGATTTGATTTCTGGTGTGAACACATTTCTTTCCGGGTACCGCCCAGAGACCTAAGGTTAGAAATGGCATCATGACATTTTCCACTGACAAAACAAAAAACATATTTTAAAGAGATAAAGACCTTCGTAAGGTGTGGGCTGTACTCGTAAGAACAATTTTTTGTATCTCTTTAAAGATTATTATTATTGTTTTTATTTCCTTTGATTTTTGGCGTGTAAACATTTCTTTCCGGGTCCCGCCCAGAGACCTAAAGTTAAAAATGGCATGATGACACTTTCCACTGACAAAAAAAAAAAAGAAAATTACATAGATAAAGCTCTTCGTAAAGTATGGGCTGTACTTGTGAGAACAATTTTTTGTATTTCTTTGAGGCATGGGCTTCCAGGAATCCCTTCAATTAGTCTACTGGAATCTTTTCCAACCAATCCTAGGGCTCCAACTACAACAAGGATTGTTGATGTTCCCATGCGCCACATTATTATTATTATTATTATTATTATTATTATTATTATTATTATTATTTCTGTTGTATACACATTTCCTCCCTTGTCCCAGCCAGACACCTAAGGTTTGAAATAGCACATGTTTTACATAGAGAAAGACCTTCGTTGGATGTCATGTCAAACAATTTTCCACGTCAGAATCCATCTTGTGTGTTTATACATCTACCATTTGTCCTTCTATTGAATATATCCGGGACACAAGACCAGATATATATCACGAGATTCTTGAAAAAATTCAAAGAATATTCTGTACTAATATCACGACTTCAGTCGCTTTCCTACCGCCGTTAAGTGGCTTCACTTTGTCTTTTCTATAAACCTTTTTATGGCATTTGTTCTGATGAGCTCTCCTCCTTGCTATCTCGATCGCATGAATTTAAGCCTACTAGATTGGCAAATAGGTCTCGTCCTTTTACAGCTAAAATAGATAGACGTAGCTTACTTTTTCTTTGTGGACGATCATGGCTCTCCTCAACTTCCTAACCATTGTAGCTTTTAGCAATGTTTATATTTTTTACTATCTCCCCCACTCATGTTCTACCATCCATTTACAGAAGATCTCTAGGTAAGTTACTCGTTACTGACCCCCGCCCGTGCTTTCAATGTGCCCAGTGAGTGTCAAATTTTTCAAGCCGTGTTTCTTCATTACGTGTTCCAGAATTTTCAACTGCTACTTTTTGATTCTAAGTAGAAGTTTTTGATTTAATTTTCCTTAAAACTCCACCGTTGCTTACATGTTTCGTCCATAGTATTCTCGGTATCCTTCTGTAGAACCACATCAAAGTAAACGTAGAAGAAGCTGGAATTTGGTTCGCTGATTACACTTTCGGCGTCGATATCTTTTACACTATCCACACTTCCATTTGGCAAATGCCCCACTTAAATCTAACAGCATTTTTTTTTCACTTTGGAATAATATTTTTGAAATAAATGTTCATAATGGAGTTTCCGGTACGTATACCAAGGAATACATGCTGTTTCCAAATTTCTGTCGGGGTGAATTGCATCATGGTGCTCTTTTTCTCACAGACGATGCCTAACTGACCCTACTATACTGCGCAGTCGACAAAATCAAAAACAAACAAGGCGCATGCGCGAAATTAAAAACGGTGACAATTTACCCATAGCACGATACATATATATATATATATATATATATATATATATATATATATATATATATATCTGAAAAAAAAATAGCAACAACTACAGCAAGATCGCTCATTTTGTAAAAATGATCCTAATTCCTGACCGATACGACATGTAAGATGACTTAGAAACATGATCCCTCTCTCGTTAGCAACTTCATCTTATACATCAGATATTGGATTGATTTCCCGTTGGCTTTTCCACGAATTGGAATTCGCATTAAACCTTCTCCAGAATCCAAGAATCCAGTCTACCCTGTTATTTTACTCACACTGGATGGATTCATGGATGGTTGGGATTAATGAGCTGGATGGATGGATGGATGTGAGTAAAGTGATGGATTCGGAGAGAGGTGGGAGTATAGGATGGACTCATGGAACAGCGGGATTAATGAAATGGATGGATGGATCGTCGAACGATTGATCGATGGATGGGAGTAAAGTGATGGATTCATGGAGGGTGGATTTAAAGCGACGGATTAATGAGATGCATGTATGGATGGATGGAATTATATGTTATATTATATGTACTTGATTTTCGTACCTGACACGTGAGATTTTTAAAATGGACATTTTTTTAATACAGGTTATTTTTATAGTAAGAAATAATATCGGATTTTTAAAAAAATCCATTAAAAATATATATGCGCTTGTATATTTATAACCTACTGTCGTTTACACGTCTAACAACACACCTATCACTTCTCAACTTATACACCACACTCCCCCGGCTCCGAGCTCAGTCACTTTTCCTCTTTTTTGTTCTCTCGGTCGTTAGCTTTGCTTTTCTTTTTTGATTGAGGGCTGGTGTGTCCTCTCGATAATGCTGATTTTGCATCTACCAAATCCTACATTATCGTGATTGACAGCAAATTATAGTATGAACCCCTTATATATGTTTTGAACCAAAGACAAGACTGCGTAATTCCCACCTGTAGCCGTGGTAAATTTTTCTCACTTTCATCTGTACGCACGTCGGATTTCAGGTTGGAATAAGAACTCCTTCAATAAAATGCACAACAATGTTGACAGCAACAAGTTTATTGAATATAACGAAAAAAATGATTGAATAAAATGGCTCTATTAGCTATTGAATATCAATACCCTACTGCAGTGTGTTTCGCGTGTCTGCCGGAAACTCGGAAAAATTACCACTAATCTTTATCGAGCCAGGCCACAGAAAAAAAAACAATTCACAATGCCTACTTTCATTATCTCCATATTCCCTTAAATTGACCATTTGACTTTTCTTACTGGCGAAAGATACTCCGCCAGAAAGAAAGTTAATGATAATTATAATTGCAGACGATTATCGCAGAAACGGAACATCTTAATCTTAAGCGATCTTGCTTATTACCCATCTGGTATTTTCTTTATATGTTTAAAATCTTCCTAGTTATCGTTCTGTAAAGATAATTGAGTTCTTGGGTGATCAATATAAACATATCCCAAATCTTAGGGTTTAACACAAGACAGATGTTTTGTTTTATTGTATAATTAAGATCATTATTTTCCATGGCCACATACGTTTTCTACTGGTAGCGAATGTAAACAAACGTCCGGATTCTAGTTTTCCGAGACTTAAGTAATTAATCGTCGGCGGGATGTAGATAGGGTTGGGTTTCTTGGTTTTGCACAGTTTTATGGAATCTTGTCTCGTTAAATCTGAGTTCGATTTTCCTTAACTTCATTCTATTATTTTAAAACCTAAATTTTAATGCGATTCGTTTTTAATTTTTTTCTCAGCCATTCAATCTACCCTCCTGAGAATTTTAATAATTGTTATCCAATTCGTAGTCCCTCCAAATCACCATCCTATAACTTCATGCATTTAAAAGTTTAAACAGGGCCAGCACCCTCTTACATATGTGTGCAATTACCGGCATCGATCTAGATGGCAATCCACATTTGCGACACCCGTTAATCCACCCGTTTTCGAGAAATTGGTCGATTTTCAAATGAGAAAGAACGGTTGAATAAACCCTACAGATCGTCCATTTATGAATTAATTGGCAACATCCTGGCTGATGCTGGACCCCAGAAGAGCGAAACGCTACGTCTCATGTGTTCCACTGACTTGAAGTAGATCGATGATATCGAATCAATAGCTGCATCTACGATAAGCGAAGTTGGGTCACTGTGTCGTAGCAGAATCGTCAGAATCCATCTTGAAACATTAGGTTGGTGCAAAAATAATGTCGTTTTTTGACGTTAAGTTGAACGTCAAAAACGACATTATTTTTGCACCAACCTAATATTTGCAAATCCACCATTCGTCCGTGCATATCTG